AGAAGGATCCCGACCCGAAACGTCAACTTTCCTGCTCCTCTGATGCTGCCTGGCCTGCTGTGTTCCTCCAGCTCCACACTGTGTTATCTCTGACTTCCAGCATCAGCAGTTCTTGCTATCTCTGAAACAGTTTGGTAGTCTTTGCTTCCCAGTTCAGATGTTGAGATAGAGCCATTGAGTCATGCAGCATGGACACAGACAGTTTGGTCCTTCTTTGGCTAGCCAGGCCCTTGGTGTTTAACTGTTTGTCTTTCTCTGGAAACATCCATTGGTTTGCAAGCAGCACAAAGCTATTGATTCATTTGGAAAATGTCTCTCATTTATCAGTTCAAAAGTCACAGCTCACAAACATGTTGCAGGCAACTAGTTCCCTTTAAATTTAAACTGAGGTTTTTTTTTGCTGCAGAGAACAGGCAGTTCTGCTGAGGAGATCAGTTGTACAAACTCTGTGTCTTTCTTTCAGTGTGTCTATGTCTTTGTAAATTGTTTCCAGTTCCAACCTGCTCAGTTAGCTGAGAACAAATCAGTTTTACTTGTAAAAAATTCCTCCAATTACTTGTAAACAACTCCTCCATTCCTGATCATCTCTATATTGCAGGAACCCACAGTCACACAAACAGAGTTCACAATAGGTATCTAATTTCTTGCTGCAAAATTATGCAGCGGCAGCCATGCTAGTAAATCCCTGTTTATTAAAACAGTTCTTCCTTAGCAGAGTGACATCTACAGTGCAGGTCAATTCCCAAACTGGGTGATGTTACCATGAAGGTCCCACTTTCTTAATCTCGTCCCTTGCCTGAGACGGTAACCCCCAGGTTAAACTCACCACCAGTCATCTCTCTCTAATGAGAGAGAAGTCCTATTGTCCTCTGGGACCATGGTGACTTTTACGTTTAAATGACCACAGGTTTTAAAAATAAAAATTAAAAAAACATGGCCCTTACAGCTATAATAAATTAGTAAACCATGATAACTCTGATACAAAGCCATGTTGAATGTACCTGATTATATTATGATTCTTCCCTCCTCAACAAAGGACTTTAGCATTTTCTTTGATGGAGAAAGGCAAACTGCAGTTTTCTGCTTTCTGTCTCCCTCTTTTCATGAATTGAGGTGCTGCATTTGTAATTTTCCAATTTGCTGGACCTTTCCAGAATGTAGAGAATTCTGCAAGTTCATAACCAATGCATCACCATCTCTGCAGCCATTTCTTTTAAAATTCTAATATGAAAGCCATCAGTATTAGGAAAGGGATCAGTAAAGGAGGGATGCATGTAGTGCTAATCACTTAGACCTGCGCCTTCCAGGGGCTTGGGCATGGTCATCACTATACCTCTCACAAGAAACCTTATATTAGGGGTCAAAATAATTGTTTTATTAAAGGTCCCACAAGAGATTTTCTTTGCAAAGTCTAGGATTGGTTACTCAAAAGTCTGGTTAGGAATTAATGCAGTGGCTATTTGGAGGTCTTTAATGGATTAATTTTACTGTGTTATGAATACAGTGGTAGAAAGGCTGACTTGGTTCAACTGTCTCCATGTCAAAACAATAACTAATAAACTCATTTTTTCATTAACTCAGGCCAGTCTGGATCAATTGTTTAAAACATAAATTCCTTTGGTTTGGGAGAAAAGTATCCACAAAGGAAGGAATCCTTTTCAAAATCAAAATCAATCAAAATTGTTGTGACCACCAAGGGGATGGGTGAATAAAGAGGAGTCTGTTCATTCCCCTTGCTTTGAAAGCATGACAATTTGGGGTAGCCCATCTGAAACTGTAAAAAACTGGGGAACTTCAGACTGTTTATCACACAAGTATCATTTATTGTTCTAAAAACCAAGCTGATTCATTCACGCCCTTTATAGAAGGGCCAGACATTCTTATCTGGTCTGGACAACATATGACTCTTGACCCACAGCACTGCTTTCTGAAATGCATTGCAAGCTACTCAGTTCAAGAACATTTGGAGCAATAAATACTATCCTTGCCTTGGGTGCCCATATCACATGAAAGAATAAAACAAAAATATATCTAATGTTCTTTTTAACTTCTCCAACATATCAACTTCTTTTTAGAAGTGCCCAGTGCTACATACAGTATTTCAAACTGAGTCTCACTAGGAAGATAACAGATTAGTTCGATCCACAAATTTATTTGCAGGTTTGCTTGTCTGGATTAATAAGGCACAACAGATTCAACTATCATCTTGCTCTGTCCTATTTATCCATATATATAAAAAGTGGTTCCTGATCTTTTAAAAAATCAAACACATTCTTAAGGATGCAGCGATAAATTCTATGAATTAATATGGCCAAGGAAAATGCAAACAAATAGAAGAGTTTTATTATTTGAGAGGAATCTTAATCAGCTAAGGTCAAACACTAAAATTATATACTGAGAGAATTTTCTTAATATTGTGCTTACCTTTGCAGTAGCTGTCTTAATAGCCATGATTAGTGACTGTTCTTTCTGCTGCAGCCTAATAAACAGGATTATGCAATTACTATGTACAATATGGCAATCATTACCACTTATCTATGAAAACTTCTAACATGCTCCTTGGTTCCAATGCTTTCTAAGCACAAGAAGCCAAAATATTCATTACTAGGAAAAATACATTTTTAACCAAAAAGTAAAAGTATTTTGCTGAAGTATAAAATGAGAAAAATAGTTGTTGAAATTATAATGTGCATAGGTTTTAAAATTTAAAACTCTTTGTAAGAAGTGTAACGAAGGAAGTCATTCGTCTGCATGCAATAGAACAATGGGCAGTACTATGTCTTAAATCAACTATCGCCAGGAGTAGTGGTTAATTGCAATTTACAAACTGCTCTTGGAATACGTCAAAAAAAACTTGCTTTAACATATGCATGCAAAAATCAGACCAGCAACATCTGACTCTGCATGATGTGTAAACAATAAATATGATTGCCACACTCTACCACAAACTAAACATTAGGTGGAATTGCATAATTCTCCACTGCTAGGAGCTACACAAGCTTAAAATCTAACTTCAAAAGACTGGCTCCAATAGAAACAAACCACAACCTATATGAATCTTGGTAAAAAAACTTTTTTTCAAAATCAAACATTATGCATCTTCTTATCATTTTTGCATAAGCTTGATAGTTGAAATAGAAATCTGACCTATATTTGATTATCCCAAAAATTTATCATTGGCTTTTAAAAAATTAGTTTCACAGCTAGACAAGGTTCATCCTAAAGGGTGGTAATGGCAAGAGGTGAATGAAGAAGAGGAAAACAACAAACAATTTGTTTGAAAATTGCAAACATGAGTGAAATGGCTGTTTGCCATATGATGGTGGGAAAGACAGAACATTCTCGTCCAGGAATTCTTTCTATAATGTGACGAAGTATATCACATGACCAGACAAGATGGACTTCAAGTTATGCATGCAAGTCTAGTCTATAGCTACATATGGCATTTCAAAGATTTACTTACTCAAAACTAGGTGCATTTCCACTGACTGACATAAGAAAACAGCTAATTGGAAGTCAACCATCTTTCAAATACCAGTTTTAAAATGTTCAATTGGTTTCACCCCAACAGTATTTTTTAAACAAATAGTTCCTCATTTCAATTGCCCTTTTATGTGAAGAACAGATTATTTTACATGGAATATTAAGTTTAGGCCCTTTATGCCTGTTTCATGATTCTGTTGGATATTGAAGAGTATTCAAGAATGTATTCAAGAGTACTAGTCAAAAGAGAGGAAGGAAATTCTCCAGCTTCCTGAGCAACAATTCTCCACCAACCAACAGCACTGAAGGTAGATTAATCAGCTATTCATCAGAGCTATTTGTAGATCTTTGAAATGGTTTGGGATATTTGAAGAGTCATTGGATTACATACAAGCTTTTCATTAAACCATCTATTGTATTGCAAGGCCAACTTGACTGTCAAGTAACACCTAAATATTCTTTTACCTCTTTACATCTTCAGGAAGCTTTGAATTGAAAAGGATTTTATTTCGTAATGGCAGAACATCTTTCAGGGTCTTATTCAGATCTTGTAACTCATTCACTGAGACAATCGATAAAGAAGGAAGTTCATAATCATACGACTGTATGAGTCTGGTTTCTTCTTCTATTTCTATACACAGTTGATGGTCTTTAGCTTCCAATACTGCCAGTTGTTCTTTAAGATCAGTGATTTCTTCCTATTGTAATAAAATGCATTACTGAGCTAGATACGAAACTCAAATAAAGACTTTATTACAAAGCTATATCAGGCATTAGTATGGCAGAAATTTAATGACTATATTAGACTACCTGAAAATTGAAATATACTTTTTTCCACAATAAATTCATTTTTTGAGTTAGCATGACAAGACTTTAAGGCAAGCAAGAGATATTATGAAAGAAAGCAAAGCATGTTGATTGCTGACAAAATAGTGTTATAAATGGAGCAACAATTTCATTGACCTAAGCAGAACTATGTTTAAAAAGGTTCAAAGACTTAAGAAATTATGCAGGACATACATTAACTGTGATAGAAAGCCATATTTTCTATAATTGCAAACAAAATGGCATAAATGGACATTCTGATGGAATTATAGTCCAGTTACATTGCAAGGTTTTGCCCATGTAAAGCAATCACCTTGCCTTGCTATCCCCATTGTGTCAATCTCAAGAGAGGCCATTTAGTGTCATAAAGTCATACAGCATGGAAACAGACCCTTTGGTCCAACCAGTCCATGTTGACCATAATCCCAAACTAAATTAGTTCCACATGCCTGCACTTGGACCATATCCCTCAAAACATTTCTTATTCATGTACTTATCTAAATGTCTTTTAAACGTTGTAACTGCACCAAAATCCACCACTTCCTCTGGAAGTTCATCCCATACACAACCACTCCCTGTGTAAAAAATAAATTGCCCCTCATATCTTTTCAAATCTTTTTCTCCTCACCTTAAAAATATGCGCCCCTGTTGTTGAAATCTCCTACCCTAGGGAAAAGACACCTGTCATTCACCTCATCTATACTCCTCATGATTTTATAAACCTCTAAGGTCACCCCTCAACCTTTTATACTCCATGAAAAAAGTCCCAGCCCATCCAGCCTCTCCTTATAACTCAAACCTTTCATTTCCGGCAACATCCTGGTAAATTTCTTCTGAACCCTCTCCAGCTTAATAATATCCTTCCTACAACAGAGCGACCAGAATTGGACACAGGACACCAGATGAGGCCTCACCAACATCTTGTACAATCTCAACATGATGTCCCAACTTGTATACTCAATGGTCTGGGGAATGAAGGCTAGCGTGTTAAATACCTCCTTAACCACCCTATCTATATGTGATGCAAACTTCAAGGAATTATGTACCTGAATCCCTAGGTCTCTCTGTTTCACAACACTACCCAAGGCCCTATTTTTAACTGTATACGTCCTATCCTTGTCTGTTTTACCAAAATGCCATACCTTGCATTTATCCAAATTAAACTCCATTTGAATTAGCTTTAGCTTTATTGTCACATGTATTCAAATGAGTATAGTGAAAGTTTACAGTCGCTGCATTATAGCACCATCTCAGTCAAAAAGGTACCTAGGTACAGATACTCAAGATCAAATTCTAAAGAAACAAATCTTGCGCCTGAGCATCCTACGGCCCGCAGGACTCAACATTGAGTTCTCCAATTTCAAATAACCTTCTCACCCATCCCCTGGCTCCTCTTCCAGCCCCACCTCCTCCCTTCCATTCCACCTTCTGAACCTCCCTTCCAGCCACCAACTGGATTCATCCCTCCCATCAACCAACCAGGTCGTACCTACCACCAGTGTACACCTATCACCACCATTCCACCTCCACCCTTCCCCCCTCTCTTTATCTGCAGCTCCCCCTAACCCCACATCCAGTCCTCAATTTGGGTTATATCCAAAACGTTGACTGCTCCTTTCCTCCAGATGTTACCTGGCTTGCTGAGTTCTTCTAGCCTCCTGTTTGTCTATCTTGAATTCCAATATCTGCAGTTTCTTTGTCTCTAACATAGCAGTCATCCCACTTTAGGTGTCATTTCTTTGCCGCTGGGCCTATTTCGCTGACACTGCTGAATCCACACTCGCAACACAACCAACAGTCTCTGGCTCCGCTGCTAGGCCAGGCCACCTCCAGGCCACTGGTCCCGCTTTGGCTGCAGATGCTGCTGCCGTCAGCCCATAACGCTGGGAAGACAACTTTGCTGCTGCTGCCACAAGTCCCGAATGACAAGAGAATGTACTCTCTGCCACGGCCTCCGATTGCTAGGAGAATGCCCCCACTGCTGCCGCTTCCAAGTACCAGCAGAAACCACATCTACAATTTCGCATGCAGTCCTCTCGCACTGCCGCACTAGTGCTGCTGACCAACCCGCCACAGAAAAGACCAAAAGAAAAGGAAAATAAAGCAAAACAGAAAGAGCAGAAGCAAAAGAAAAACAAAGAAGGAAAGCAGATGGGAGCGGATGGGCTCTGGGTAAGAGCACGCATGCAGCCCTGTTATTCCACCGCCATCTTGCACCAAAATCTGCCATTCTTCTGCCCACTGACCCAACTGATCAAGATCTCTTTTAATCATATATAACCTTCACTGTCCACTATACCACCAATTTTGGTGTCATCCACAGAGTTACTAACCATGTCTTGATCATTTTTTGAACTCCTACTCGGCACTAATAGCCCCATCTTCTCCCAACCCCCATTCTTTCGTGTCACTCTGGGAAAAAACTCTTTCCAAGAGTTTTGCATCTGCCAATCTGCTCCAGTATATATTCATCTCCATCTAATTCTCCCATCCCCATTAAAAATGTTATTCTCAAATTATTCTGCTTATCCTCCAAAGGGGAAAGACTAGAATGTTTACAACCAAAACTTGTTCCATCTGGAACCGAGGACATCACCGTGAGGAACTCCTGCAGCAATGTCCTGTGACTGAGAGTAATTGACTGCCAACAACCATAAGCATGTTGCTTTGTGCTAAGCGACAGTCCAACATTTCCCACCCGAATTCAGCTCTTTTGTCCATGATTGAACCAAGGCTATAATGAATTCAGGTACTTAGTGGCCCTGGCAACACCAGTGAGCAAATTACTGCTGTGTAAGTCTCACATCATTAGCACTCCCAATGGCCCCTTCAATCACTTTTTGATGATCCATAGTAGGCTGATGGAGCAGTAATTGTCAGTAATCAGGGTTGGATCTGCCCTGCTTTTTGTGGTTAGGTCATACCTAGGCAATCTTCTATATCTCCTGGTAGATGTCAGTTTTGTAGCTGTACTGGAACAGCTTGGTGGGGGCCATGAATAAAGCTGGAGTAGTAATGTTGATGGAATGTTGTCAGGATCCATAGCCTTTGCGGTAACCAGTGCATTTAGCCATTTCTTGATATCACAAGGAGGCATCAAACTGGCTGAAAACTGGGGTCTGATGCTGGGGACCTCAGAAGGAAGTGGATCATCCACTCACAATTCTTGATGAAGATGGTTTCAAATTCACAGTCTTTTGCGCTGATCTACTCTGTACCTACATTGAGGATGGGGTGTTTTTGTGGCATTTCTTTCTCTAGTTCATTGATAACTGTCGACCACCATTCATGACTGAATGTGGCAGAGCTGCAGAGCTTACATCTGATACATTGATCATGGGATTGAAGTCTGTCTACTGCATACCACTTTCACAGTTTAGCTTCCGGGCAGTCCTGTGTTTTGGTTCACCAGGTTGACATCTCACTTTTAAGTGTGTGTGGTGTCCGCCTAGCATTCTTCTTGCACTCATCATTGAATGACGTTTGTTTCCTTGGCTTGATGGTAATGATGAAGTGGGTGATATGCTGGGCTGTGTATAATATAGGTTATATAATTGAGAAGGTCCTGCCTGAGGCGTGGTAACCCTCAGGTGAAACTCACTGTCAGTTGTCTCCCTCTAATGACTGAGCAGCCCTATGATCCTCTGCTACTATGGCAACTTTATATGGTTGAGATCCCAACACTGATCCCTATGGCACCCTACTAGTTACAATTTGTTAATGTGAAACACACCTTTTCTTCTGACTCGTGCCTTTCCTGCATCAATGCTAAATTATCACTCTCAACCTCATGACCTCTTAACTTGTGCAGTAATCTTCTATGTGGCACCTTATCAAATGCATTTTGGAAATTGAAATATGGTACATTTACTGTTTCCACTCATCTACCCTGCTTGTTACATCCTCAAAGAACTTTAACAAATACATCAATTATGATATCAATTTCATAAAACCATGTTGGATCTTCCGATTGTATTATGATTTTCTTAACGTATGGATACTACGTAATTAATAATAGATCCTAACAATTTTCTAATGGCAGATGTTGGCTTAACTGGCCACACTTTCCTGCTTTTGTCACGATCCTGTTTTGAAGAAACAAGTGTTACTTTTAGCAGTTTCCCAATTGCTTAGGAACTTTCTAGAATTTAAGGTATCTTGGTATACTACAACCAAAGCAACTACGATCTGTGCAGCACTTCTTTTAAATACAAGCCACTGGATCAATGAAACTTTAGTTCCATTCATGTTCATAGCAAATTTTGTTCAGAGATTGTCTTTTTTTTGCTCTTTCATCCCTTTTGCTCACTGATTTTTCATTATTATTGAGAGGCTTTCCACGTCTTCAATTGTGAAGGCAGATACAAAATAGTTATTAAAAGTCCAATGTTAGTTATTCCAACATTAATTCCCCAGTCTCACCCCGGAAGGGATTAATTTGTACTTTAGCTAATCTCTTGCTGTCTGTTTATATATTTCTTATTAGTTTACTTAAAAAACTCCTCATCTTGATTCCAAGTGGCAATCAACTTATTTTTAAATTGTGTCCCCTGGTTATGCACTCCCCGTCCAGGCGAAATATTAAATGTTGTATGACAGAATTCTTTCTCTGCAATAAAATACTCAAATCTTCAGGCTCTCTATACACCTCATTGTGGTGGGTGTTTTTCTGATTTATTGTTTTAGACCCTTTTGAATTTGCTCGATTTATTACTGCAGCTTCTTTGATTTTGTATTCCTCTTCCTCTTGATGCGGTACATTTATACTGGTTTCTTAGGATCTTTTCCAGGAATCGTGTTCCAAGTGTTTTGTCAGCACATCGACTGATGGTTTAAAGATTAGCAACTTGCATTTACCTGCATCGACTCTCTC